ACTAACAGTGTGGATCTCTGAGTTCAAGGACAGCCTGGTCTACAGAGTGAGTTCCAGCCAGGACTATATAGAGAAACCCTGTCTCAAAAAAAAAAAAAAAAAGTGACACACATAAAGTCATTGAGTGATAAGAACCTCCATGTTGTCAAATAACATCAGATAAAGAAGGTGGGGATAAAAAACAAACCCTGAGATTTACCATAGTTCAGATAAGTTATCTTGGAGTGAATCCTGGGAGCTGAAGTGCCTTGAGAAAACTACATCTCTGTGTAAGATTCTTCAGGCTTCAAAACTGACTAGCACTCTTGGGTGTAGAGGGTTGGAATACTGCAGATGGTGATCTAAAACTATCCTGGGCTATCTTTAGTCCCCCTACCTGCCTGACTCTGTGCAATCCATGGGGAAGTAACATCCCTTCTGTCATGTAAAACTTTTGGCGGGCCAGGGCTGGTAGCTCACATCTTTAATGCCAACATTCCAGAGATAGAAGCAGATCTCTATTGAGTACAAGGCCAGCCTGGTCTACAAAGTAACTTCCGGGCCAGCCAGGGCTATACATTGAAATCCTGTCTCAAAACCAAAACAACTAAACACCAACAAACAAAGAAAAAAGATCCCTGACCCCTGGAATATATTTTCAGGAGACCTACTAGATGTCTTCACCAGTGTCACTACATGCGGACTGCAGTGGGTTTCTCTCTTTGCTGCAAGGCACTAGCCTGCTGGTCCTACCGAATTATTCAGTAAGTGATCAGTTTATAATTTATTTTGTTCTATGATTGCAACCATCCATGTGACCACTTCCACCGTGGAACATGTCATTCAGGTCAACCTGAACTCAATTTCCCCTGGCCAAAGTCACTCATACTTGGCTCAGAATAAAGGTTCTCTTATTAATTCTGGATTGACAGCTGTGTTTTGCTATCAAAATACAATGAATGTTACAAGAGGCATAGAAAAAAATCTTATGAGAAAAGATTTATATGTAATTAGGTGCTACAAGAAGATATCCTTATATTGGTTTCTAATGATTTATATGTAAAGGAATTGGATTTTTAAAAATAAAATATTGCTCTACTTCAAGTTTTTTAAAAGGCTAACTTTAAAGGTTTTTAGATTATGTGAATGAAGAGGCTGTATGTACTCATGGGTGCAGTGCCCACAGAAGCCACAAGAGGGCAGCAGATTCCCAGACGCTGGCGTTACGACTGTTGTGATGGGAACCAAATAAGGTCTACTGCAAGAGCAGTGCACACTCAACTGGTGAGCCAGCCTTCCCTCCCAGACAAGAATTTAGTGTTTTATGTTGCCTGTTAATTTTGCCATCCTTTTAACCAAACGAGATCTTATTTATTTTGTCTTCTGTTTAATTTCGTACTTACCTACTTACTTACTTACTTAATTAAAAATGCAGCAGGTCACACAGTAACGAGAACACTGCCTACTGGGTTCACTTACAATTCCATTTATGTTCACATCTGTGCTGGATAGTTTTATGTCAACTTGACACAGCTAGAGTCATCTGAGAGGAGAGCCTCAACTGAGAAAATTCCTATGAACCCTTGGATGGCCCAGAACCTGTCAGGTAGGGCAGGCTGGTCTTGGCCTCTCTGTGGTAATCCTCTGCCTTAGGAGTGCTGTGATTTCAGACACGCACTGCTGTGCCTTGGTTCAAAAACGTGTGCATGATGATTTTCAAACTGTAAATTTATTCAAAGAATTTTCTAAGGTCAATATTTAATTCATCAATGTAAAACTAGAACCCATTTCCTTCTGTTTAAAGCAATGAGCTTTCTTTCAAACAGTGTGTGTGTGTGTCTGTCTGTGTCTGCACAAGCCTGTGTGTGCACATGTGGAGGCCAGAAATATCAGGACTGTCTTGACATTTGATATATTTTGATATATCAAATATCAAATATATCAGGCTTTCTTTGATATATTTTGTAATTCTCTTAGTAACCCTTTACTGGGGGTTGGGGTTGTGGCTCAGTTGGTACAGGGTTTGCTTAGTTGTTCTAGGCCCTGTGTACCACACCCAATACACAACAGACAGGCATGGTGACACACATCTGTAAGCCTACAGCTGGGGGGGGGGGCAGAGGCAGGAGGATCAGAAGGTGAAGATCATCCATATCTATCTGATTCGAGGTTCGAGAGCAGCCAAGGTTTCAAGAGGCCCTATCTCAAAAAAAAAAAAAAAAAAAAAAAAAAAGCAGGGGTGGGCTGGAGAGATGGCTCAGTGGTTAAGAGCACTAGCTGTTTTTGCAGAGGATCCAATTTGAGTTCCCAACAACCACTTGGCAGCTCACAACTTCCCGTAATGCCAGCTCCAGGGGACCCAATGCCTCTGGCTTTTCAGAGCACTCCATGTCTGTGCACACGTTCATATGTAGGCACATATGCATACACTTCGTTAATGTCTGTAGGAGGCTGGAGAGACGGCTCAGAGGTTAAGAGCATTGACTGCTCTTCCAGAGGTCCTGAGTTCAATTCCCAGCAGCCACATGGTGGCTCACAACCATGTGTGGTGGGATCTGGTTCTCTCTTCTGGTGTGTCTGAAGACAGCTGCAGTGTACTCATATACATAAAAATAGTGGAAATAATAATACTTTTTAAAATGTTAAGGGTGGGTCTCTTTCCCACTGACATTTTGTTACAGATATCTTTCAGTTGTGAAGTTTGGTTTTTAGTAGACACCACAGGGACTAAACTTCATGCTAACCTTCAGAGAGAGAAAGAAGAGAAAAAACTTCCAACCAGCAACTTGTCCAAGAAAAGAAGCAAGTGGACTCAGGGACAAAGGATGCCTGCCATCTTCAAAGGGAAAAGGAGCTCTCTCCTCCAGAGACCTTTTGTGCTTTAGGATCTAAGAACAGGCTCCAGACCAGGTACTTTTCCGTCTGAACCTCGAAGCTGCTTACAGCTGGCAGATGAGAAGCACCTTTGGCATCTGTCTCCCTTGCTGCTGCGCCCCTCTCCAGCACGGGGTACAATCGATGGGTTCAGACCAACTAGGAAAAGCCACACGGCAGCAATGAGGTCAGTTAATTGCCACAAGAGCCATGGACGGTGGTGCATGCCTGTAACTCCAACACGTGAGGTAGAAGTAGGCCAGCCTGGGCTACACAGTGAATTCCAACCTCAGAACAAACCAAAACAAACTATTACAAGATGGTTATCAGTGTTGATGGATGTGTGTATGGTACCAAATACCTATAATCCTAGCACTCAGGAGGCTGAAGCAGGAGGATTATTTGAAGCCAGCCAGACTCTTGTCTCAAAGCTCACAAAACAGAGTCACTTATGCTAGCATTTCCAAAGTCACTAACACAAAGAACTCTTGTGCATGGCTACTAGACACTAACTGAATGGCAGAGGTCAAAGGTCAAAGACAAAAGCAGAAATTCCCACACTTTAACCACTAGGCTCTGACTCCACAGACCTGGGCCCAGGGGCCTGTGATGTCTTTTTATGTGGAAGTCAGAGGACAGTTCTGTGGGTAGAGTTGGTTCTCTCTCACCTTTTCCAGGGTCCAGACTCATATGTTTCCAGATTTGTTCTGCAAGCACCTTCCCCTACTGGCCCCAACTTGCAAAGTCTTACGCAGCACCTGAAACCTGACTCCAGAGGGCTTGCTGAGCCTCATCCCCGATGGCCAGCATCAACTAAGCACAAGGACTTTAGGTAGCGAGCTGCCCACTGCTCCACACGGAGCATGAAGGAGACCGAACAACTTCCCTTTGTTCCCAAGGAACTCCATTCAGCAATTCTTTCTCCCTTTGAGATCTGCTGGATGACTCCGTGTCTCTGCAGGGTATCTTTTCTCTTTATTGTGTATACGGGAGAGGTTTGTGTAGGTGCACACATGCGTAGATGCACATATATATATGCACATTTGCAAGACATTCTTCACAAACTATGAACCCTGAGATTGTGTGATTTACTAAAAACAAAAACCCTGTTTTTAGTTGTGGTATAGCTCAGCCCTAACCACACACCTTTAATCCCAAACAATGAAAGTAAAGTTGGTTTGTTGAAGGAAGCAGCCATGCTTGAAAGTGATGTCTAACTGAGTGGCAGAGAAAATGATGAATCACAGAAAGACTTGACAGAACCGGATATGCCCAACTCTCATGTGAACAGACAGGAAAGGGAGGCTACTTAAGAGACAAGCACAGAGGGAAAGAAGGAGTTTGAGCCAGAACAGTTGAGCTGACCAGTCAGCCAGCGTTCCGAAAGAACTAGGAAGGGGCAGCAGCAAGTCTCTCTGCCTTTCTCTGCCTCTACTACCCTCTTAACTCCCCTCCCCATGCCCTGAATAAACTGTATTCTATAATATACCCGTCGCGTAGCTGGTCTCTCAGGGGGAAGGGGATGTCTCAGCGGGGCCCATGCCCGAGGCATCCCTTTCCCCATACCTCACCACACACACCCACAGAACATATTATATCTCTTTATCTTTTTATAAACACATCACTATCTATATCTATCTGTTTTGTTTGTTCGTTCTTCGAGGCAGGGTTTCTGTGTAGACCAGGCTGGCTTCAAACTCAGAGATCCCCCTGCCTCAGCCTAGGATTAAAGGCCTGCATGTCACCACGCCTGGCAGTTTTTTTTCCGTATTAAATTTTTACTTATTATTGGGGACATCCGTGGGTGTATGACGTATGTGACTATGAGTGGGCGAGCCACGGTGCCTGTGGCCATGAGAGGACCCGGCTCCCTCTTCCGGGCCTGGTGGGCATGCTTGTGAGGAGAGGACGTCCACCTGACGCCATGGCGAGGCCTCCCTTCGCCTCTCTTCCTACCCTGAAGTGCTGCAGGCAAACCTCGTCAACTCGGTGCCCATAGCCCCGCGGTGTGCGGAGGCCTTCTTTCTCACCGGAGCCTACGACATTCCGGAAGTCCTCCATTGAGCCACAGGCCCCGGGCGCCCTCGCCAGCCGAGCGGAGGCGGGAAGCGGCCGGGGACCAGCAGGCACCGCGCGGGCCTCGCCGCCGCCATCTTGGGGCCTGCGTCCGCCATGGCGTCATGGGCGCTGCTGTGCCTGGGCGGTGCCCTCGTGTACTCCCTGCTGCACTCGCTGTCCCTCACGGAGGGCTCCAGCCCGGCGCAGGGACAGGCCACCACGCCGGGGCCGCCGGAAGAGGAGCAGCCGGTCACGAAGGGCAGTATCTGGTCATGTGCAGCCCCAGCACCCGGGACCTTGTCCGCTGTCCCACCTCAGCCACGCAGGACTCAGCTGCTCCCAGACCGTTGGTAGCCATGTCAGTGATACCTCAAAAATGCTCCGCACTTACTTTTCTAGACAGACTTACTGATGTTCGTGGCTCAAAGGGCTGTTAGGTGACCTTTTCAGAATGCACTTGAGAATAACTATTCAACAGGTTAAATGGCAAGAGTGATGGATATAGCTTGTAGCTCTTGACTTAGCAATTGCAACTTTTGTTTGTTTTATGCCAGAGATTGATGATTTATATACATTCATCCTACACACCCTGACTACTGAGCTGTATCCCAAACACATGGGAGGCACATGCACGCACACACGTTTCTGAGATCAGGTCTCACTATACAGTCCAGGCTGGCTTGGAATTTGTGATATTGCTGTCTGATCCTCTTGAAAGCTGGGATTACAAGTGTTTACTACCACTGAGTGGTGGTGGCGAACACCTTTCATCCCAGCACTCTGCAGCCAGAAGCAGGCAATCTCTGAGTTCAAGGCCAGCCTTGTCTACAGAGTTATGAGACAGCCAGGGCTACACAGAAAAACAAAAAAAATCTAGTGTATACTAGCATGCCGACTGGATCTTAGATTCTTTTTTTTTTTTTTTTTTTGGTTTTTCGAGATAGTGTTTCTCTGTATATCCCTGGCTGTCCTGGAACTAACTCTGTAGACCAGGCTGGCCTCGAACTCAGAAATCTTCCTGCCTCTGCCTCCCAAGTGCTGGGATTAAAGGCGTGCGCCACCACTGCCCGGCTGATTCTTAATCACTATCCCACAAAGGAAAGAACATGGTACGTGGCTAGTGAAACTTACTTTTATATTCTTGGGGACTAGAGTTATTAATAAATTATGTTGGTTTTTGTGTCTTACTGAGCTTACTGAGTAGTCAAATGTGGCATGTTTGTTTAAATTCCTTTGCCATTCAGAATTTCAGCTTGCCTCATCAGTGTCTACATAGAAATTTAAAGGACTGTGCTAATGTATTCAGGCTAGGAAGTAACATGAAACATGGATGATGATTCCAAATAATGTATCGCTTTGTTTTTAGATTGTGGAATAGCACCACTTAGAGGTGCACTGGAAGGGTCTCGGATTATAGGAGGGACGCAAGCTGATGTCGGCGCGTGGCCATGGCAGGTTAGCCTGCAGGTCCAAGATGGCGATTTTCTTATGCACGTATGTGGTGGTGCCCTGGTGAGAGACAGGTGGGTCCTCACAGCTGCTCACTGCACTAAAGAGGCTAGGTAGGTGTTCCTAATGGGATTCCCATTTTCTTCTCTTGGGAATAGTTTGAAAAGGTACTGACTTTAGTTAAGCATTATGTCTGTATATAATTTCCTAGATATATTACACTGCATTTGTTGAAATGAATCCTTTAATCACAGGCTGGTGACTGTTTCTGTGGATGTTTTATAGGGTTTACAAGCCATATAGTCTGTTATATTTTATTACTTAGTATAAAAGTAACTATACATAAGTGGAAAATACACAGTTAAATGACTGTCGCTGTGATCCTGTAAAACCATACATATAATTAATTATTGATTTGTATATGTGAGAATGTACTTTGTTCGTGGGTTGTGTAAAAACAAGGCAGTTGAGAGTTAATTTTTATTATTTGAGCTCTGACAGAGACTCTTTGGCTTCATTTGCTTAGAGTCATAAAATCCCATTTTCGTGTGATTTCTGGGACCAAAACATAATTCCCAGAGCTGCCTCCATGCTGGATGGATGCAGAATTCTGTTTCCATCCCAGTGGTCATAGGTATGGGGCAATTATGACAGACTTTCTTTAAACAGTCTCTTTGGTTTTTCTAAAACAGTTTATTTTTATGCATGTGAGTGGTATGTATGTATGTATGTATGTATGTATGTCCACCGTGTGCATCTCTGATGCCCAAGGAATCAAGAGAGGGCATCTGGAATTTTAGATGGCTGTCAGTCATCATGAGGATGCTGGAGAAAGCACCTGGGTCCTCTGCAAGAGCAGTGACAGTCTCACCCCTGAGCCGTCTCTCTCGCTCAGAAGCTTCCCTTCTAAGATGTTGGTGAGGAGGGAGAGGGACATGCCAGTATGGTGTTGTAGTCTATATATTATCTTTGCCTTTAACTTTCTCATCAACTTTTATGATGAATCATCTGACCAGCCCAGCCTTGCTTTTCACGTTAGAGGAAAGCAACATGGCCCAGTTTATTAGTGAACCATCCTTGGGTCAAGGGTCCATCCTTGTCCTACAGAACTCCAGAGGGTGTGGATCATGTATATTCATTAAATCCGGACACCTTGATACAGACTGGGTAAATCTCGTACAAGCATGTAGGTATGTCGCCTCTGAGTACCAGTGTGGTCCTGGGGGCTGAACCTAAGGCTTCACACATGTCAGGTCAGTGTTCCAGTACAGAGCTACTGTTTTCCACCGTGGCTATAGCACTGAAGAAGAGTGTGTGTGGAGGGATGGAGCTGGTGTCTGTCACAGGGCAGAACCACAGGGCTCCTGTGAGCCACCTTCCACGCAGCAGACCGTGCAGATTAAGCTTTCTTTGTTCTCATTCTCATATATCTGTTCACTTCCTTTTATAACTGTGGTATAAGTTCATACCTCTGGGCACACCTGTGTGGGATCGTCAAGATTAGGTTAACTGAGGGGGGGTCCACCCTGGCTGAGGGAGATGGCTGAATAAAAAGGAAAATGGAGCTAAGCACTGGCTGCACCTGTTTCCCTCTGCTCCCTCCTGATAAATGTGTCTAGCCTCCTGAAGCTCTGCCTCCTTGCTTTCCCTGCCTTGATGGACTAAGACTGTGAACTAGAATAAATCCTTCCCCCTACATCAGTTTTATTAGAGTAGTTTATCCCAGCATCGAGACAACTGGTAAAACTTTGTCTGAAAAAACAAAAACAACAACAAACTCCCCCCCACCAAAAAAAACCCCAACTAACCAAACAAAACCAAATAAATCCTGTCTCATGTCAGAGCTGTATCTTCTTTTTAGTTTAACTTTAGTTTAATTTTGTAAAATTTAGTTTAATTTTGTAAAATTCTAGTGCTAAGATCCAGATGTTTTTTTTTTTTTTTTTTTTTTGGTTTTGGTTTTTCGAGACAAGGTTTCTCTGTGTAGCCCTGGCTATCCTGGAACTCACTCTGTAGACCAGGCTAGCCCCGAACTCTCGAACTCAGAAATCCGCCTGCCTCTGCCTCCCAAGTGCTGGGATTAAAGGCGTGCGCCACCACCGCCTGGCAGATCCAGATGTTTTATTCTAGTATATTTCTAAAGATGAGAGGCCCGAGAGATGGCTCTGTGGTTAAAAGTACTGACTGCTCTAAAAAGACACCAGGTCTGGATTCCCTACACCCACATGGCAGCTCAGAACTCCCTGAGACACCAGTTTCAGTTTCAGGGGTCTGATGTCTTCTTCTGGCATTCTTGGGCATCAGGCTCACACATGGCGCACAGATATATGTATGCAGGCAGAACACAGACAATTTATTTTTAAATCTTTTTTTTTTTTGTTTTGTTTTGTTTTTTGGTTTTTGGTTTTTGTTTTTTGTTTTTCGAGACAGGGTTTCTCTGTGTAGCCCTGGCTGTCCTGGAACTCACTCTGTAGACCAGGCTGGCCTTGAACTCAGAAATCAGCCTGCCTCTGCCTCCCAGTCTGGGATTAAAGGCGTGCGCCACCACCGCCGGGCTCCGGCTTATTTTTAAATCTTAAAATACAAAAGGAGAGGAAATATTTTCTCACGTGCTTGTCACAGAGCTTCGAGTTTTAAACTTACATCTTAATGATGTCTATTAGTGTTTATTAATTAAACATGACAGTTTTATACATGTATGTAGTGCATTCACTCCTGCACGCCTCTCACCCCTCCCACCCACGCCTTATGCGTGCTAAGCCTGCACTCTGCAGAGTTAACCTTCTCTTCCCAGTATTTTGAAGTGCATTGCAGATCTATCATCTTGCCTGTGGGAAAGACAGCACCTCTTATTGAAAAGAAAAAAAAAAAAAGTTTTTAATCCAGTCGGAGTTTACTTTGGTGGCTCGTGTTATCTCAGAGATTTAACCTTTTCTTTCCAAACAGGTAGTTGTCTCACCACCATGTATGGAGTAACTTAGTGCTCTGTTCACTAGCAGGACATGCTATCCTAGTCGGCCACGAAGTTCTCATGTACTGGAGTCTGCTCTGAGCTTCCTGTCCCACTCCTCCCCTCCCCTCTGCTGTATCATGAAGTTTGAGCCTTTATTTTATACTTTAGGTCACATGGAAGTAGGCTTGAAACTTTGTTGTCAGTCTGATATCTAGGGGAAATGAAAGAAATTATTTAAGTGGACCTCTTGGCAATAAGAATATTTGCTTTCTTTCAGAGACCCTCTGAAGTGGAGAGCAGTGATCGGGACCAATGACCTCAGCCGGAGCCACCGCCACACCAAGAATATACGAGTAACAGCCATCGCCATCCCGCCGGATTTCATTATGGAAACATTCGTAAACGACATCGCACTGTTCCATTTAAAGAGAGCCGTGAGGTACAATGACTATGTTCAGCCCATTTGTCTGCCTTTTGGTGTTTTCCAAAACCTGGACCAGAACACAGCGTGCTTTGTAAGTGGCTGGGGAAGGACCAAAGAAGAAGGTAATTACAGTCCAAGTCCTTTTACTGACACACCTTCCTGCAGAGGGAGGGAATCCATTTACCTATAAAAATCCTTGTGCGCATCTCTTTTGAGCTACTGATTGGTTCTGTGCCATGGATCAAACAGTGGACCACTAGGTTTTATTCCTCCCCTGTTTTATATTTTTTCTTTATTTTTACCTCTTTATTGACCCCAGAGCTAAACACCTGATTCTTATAAACCATAAAAAAGAACATTTTTACTTTGTATTTTCTTCCTTTTGGAGAGAGAAATTTCCTTGCATAACCAGAAGTACGACCCCCTGGTTATACACAACAACTACTTAAACTATTTTCACACTTGAGACTGACAATCTGGTGTCCCTATAGGTCATAGCCTTGATGAGAGAATTGGCACTTAAATCAGAAAGTTGGTGAGGATTCTGTTTACTTTCCTTTTCATCTCTAATGCCCTATGCAGGACTAGGCAGGACGGCTGCCAGTGATATGTTTCTCACACAGAGGCACTAACTGTTGATCCGTACACCTGACAGGGATAATAGACAACCCCTGTCTCTGGGAATAGCAGCAGGCTTCTGGACAAGTGTGTCTCAGGCTTCTGCTCCCTCAGCACCCCTGTTGCAAATGCTGCTGCCGCTGCCCCTGCTGCGGCTGCCTCCGCCATGGCTGCCCCTGCTGCTGCCATTCTGTTTGACTGTCTTCCCAGCTGGGCTAGATTTGTGCCACAACACAGAGCCTATGGATGCCAAAAGCTGAGTCTATGGAAACAGAGCCAGACATGTGTAATCCCAGGATGGGCTGAGAGGATCAGGAGTTCCAGGCCATCCTCAGCTATATGTGGAATGAATTCAAGGCCAGCCTAGGCTACATGAAATCCTGTCTCAACTACCACCTCCCTATCCCCATTCCCTCCAACACTCCAGCTATGGCCCTCAAAAAAGGAGCAGTTAGGACTCACACTGAGGTCTTTGTGATTCTGAGGCGTGATTATTTAACTAGCACAAGGACCTGGTTCTTGAGGGGAGTCAGTTTGGAACATATTAGAGCAAGTACTAAGACATGGTTTCCATTGCATGTGGGCCCAGCAAGTAGGCTATGGATTTTTTTTTTTTAAGACAGGGTCTCCTGTAGCCCAGACTAGCTATGTTGTCAAAGATGGCTGAGGCTGGGTATGTTGGTACATACCGTAAATCTCAGTACCTGGGAGGCAGAGGCAGGTAGATCTTGGCAGTTGAAAGCAACCACCCAAATAGATGGTTGTGAATCTGGGCAGATGTGCACCACACATCCGTTTTTAATTTGTGATTATTTAGGCAGTAATGGGAGAATTTTAGGAAACACTTTGTAAATTACTGTTTTTCTTGAGCACTTTTTAAAAATGTTTCCATTGATTGTATGAGTGTTTTGCTGCGTGGGTACCCACACACCATAAGAGATAGGGCATCTGTGCCCTTACAGAGGGTCCTAAGCCACCATGTGGTTGCTGGGAATTGAACTCAGGAAGAGGCTTTTAACCACTGAGCCATCTCACTGCCCTTTTCTCGAGCACTTTTGAAGGAAGAGAAGGAAAACATCATCATATAGGAAAGACATGACAATAGGACTGCAGTTCTGAATCCCAGCCTCGCCATGCTCTAACTCCAAGAGCACGGATACTTAGCCAGTTGGCATATGTCTTTCATCCCAGCACTCGAGAGGCAGAAGATGTAGATGTGTGTGAGTTTAAAGCCAGACTTGTCTACATAGCAAGTGCCAGGCCAGCCAGGCTACACAGAGAGACTCTATCTCAAAGTCAGACTCACTCAGTCACTAACTAACCAACTAACTAACTAAAGGGAGCATGGTCATCTTAATGAGTTGTTGACAGTTATTATCAGGTAACAATATAAGAACAGTTGCCATTTATTGTTCATGACTAGGTGTAACCCTGGTGCTGAGTGAGTCTCAAAGGACTATGATACAGAGCAGTAGAACAGGATGCCCAGTGTCCTACCCTGACCACTGTGCACTGTCCACACTGGTGTGAGTGTGAGTGTGAGTGTGAGTGTGTGTGTGTGTGTGTGTGTGTGTGTGTGTAAATGTGATATATAAATTTGTCAAAATTTAAACTGTGTGCTCTTAGATGGCTCAGGGGCTCAGAGCACTCGTTGCTCTTGCAGAAGACCTGGTTCAGTTCCTAGAACTCACACTGTAGCTCACAACCAGCTATAACTTGAGTTCTAGGGGACACATTGCTCTCTTCTGAACTCCACAGGCACCAGGCACACATGTGTGCATGTATACATACATCATACATACATACATACATGCAGGCAAGACATCCATACACATAAGATACATCTTTGAAATGCATTCTCTTTAAAAGACACATGTCAAGAGAATGGTGAGATAAGCTCTGACTAAGAGAAAAGCATTTGTTCAGAGATCCTGGGAGAGCCGTGAAGAACTTGTGCAGCTGACTGGGTTGTAAGTTTGCTGATGATTTGAAAAGCTCCCTCACCAAAGCAGACCACAGATGCCAACAGTAAGTGAAGAGATGCTGACATCACTGACAGCACAATGAGAAGTCACCACGTCTAATAAATACAGTGCTCACAACCTAAAGACACACAGTGCCAAGTCTGGGCAAGGATGTGGAGAAACCAGAATGAACAGTTAGTAAGATGGCCAGGAATAAGACCAGCATATATAGATCTGTTTTGTTTCTATGTACTAGCAAAAGTTAGGGAATGTAATTTAAAAGCCAGGGGCTGGAATAGGATACTGACACATAACATTACCCTACATGAAATAAACCGGTCAGAAATTGCAGTGTAGTCTACAGTTCCATTTATAATGAAAGGCCTCAAACGGGCAAACCATAGAGCGTAGATAAGAAACTCTGACCATCCAAAGGGCATTGGGGAAAACAGACCTTGGTTCAATGATACAGAGACAGCAGTCAGTGGAACCGTTCAGTCCCTGTCTTCAGGAAAAATTGGTTGCCCTTCATTAAAGGCATATACTCTAGTTTTTCCGAGGTCTTAATTTTTAAAGGGAAGGTCTCATGTAGCCCAGGTTGTCCTTACATTCACTGTGTAGCCGAGGATGACCTTGAATTTATGATCCACATCTCTTTCATCTCATGTGTGCTGGGATCACAGACATGTATCACCACCCTATCATATGACAGAGGGGCGGGACCCAGGGCTTTGTGCATGGTAGGCCAGCACCTCACACAGCACTGGCCCTGTTGTTATTTTTTGAGTCTGAGTCTCACTCTGTGGCCCAGGCTAGCCTTGAACCAATAACAATCCTCCTGCTTTAGCATCCAGCGTGCTAAAAATACATGTGTATAGGGCAGCACACATGGACACCAATGTTTTAAAGCACTGTAAAGTTGCCTGCAGTTATTAAGACATAACGTAAAGGGCTTTGTCATTCTGCTGCTGACAGGCAACGGCACATCTGTTTTACAAGAGGCGAAAGTACACTTCATCTCTCGGGAGATTTGTAACTCTGACAGGAGCTACGGAGGAGTGGTTCCCAACACTTCATTCTGTGCAGGTCACGAAAATGGGACCTTTGACACGTGCAGGGTAAGACCAAAGACTTAGATGCTTTCTAAAGCCAGGAGGAACCAAAACAAAGGCTTTTGCTCTGGTAATCTTAATTATCAGGCCTAATCTAAAATTCTGGGTTTTTTCCTACTTCAACAGTCCACGCTTTGGATTGGATTTCCTGGTTCTTATCCCTATCAGGATCAAATCCAGGCAAAATCTTTCTTGAATCTGGCATCCCCCCTTCTCTTCTCCGCTTTGGTTTAATGGGGAGGGGGCGCTGGGGGAGTTGAGACAAGATTTCTCTGTGTAGCCCTGGTTGCCCTGAACTCACTCTGTAGACCAGGCTGGCTTCCAATTCAGAAATCCACCTGCCTCTGCCTCCCAAGTGCTGGGATTAAAGGTGTGAGCCACCACTGCCTGGCTTATAATTTATTTCATTTACTGAGTACTTGCCTGGATTCCTCTCTCTCTCTCTCTCTCTCTCTCTCTCTCTGTGTGTGTGTGTGTGTCTGTGTGTCTGTGTGTCTGTGTGTCTGGTGCCTGAGGAGGCCAGAAGAGGGTGTCAGACCCTCTGGAACTGGAGTTATAGATGGTGGCGAGCGAGCTGCCGTGTGGATGCTGGGAATTGAACCCTGGTCCTCCAGAAGAATAGCTAGTGCTCTTAACCCCTCAGCCACCTCTCCAGTCTCCTTTGTCACCCTTTTTTTTTTTTTTTTGTCACCCAGAGCCATCATGCAGTGGAGGTTTTAGAGTTGAACCATCACCTCAAGTCTCCTTTCAGGACATTTTTTTGTCAACACTAAAAGAAATCTAAGAGTCATGTGTCAGGGCTGGAGACATGGCTTGGTTAGTGCTTGCCGTGTAAGCGTGAGATGTGAGTGCAGATCCCCAGAACCCACAGAACTAGCAGAGCATGGCACACACCTCTAATCCCAAGGCCACTCCAGCAGATGGAAAGAAGCAGAGACGGGCATTCCCAGCAGCTGCAGGCCTTGTAGGCAGCAGTAAACCAGAGACCCTGCTCAGGCCAGAAGGGACAGAAGTCTGACAGCTGAGGCTGTCTCCTGACTGCTACTCATTTGCCATGATATTTATGACATGTGAAGACACCGGACGTCATCCCCTGCCCTCCACACACATATATGCCTATACATCCGTGTGCACACACTCAAAAGGAAACCACGCCTCCTCCTCTCACCCTCCTCTGCATGTAGGCAGATGATAATCTGTAGGACTCCATGTCCTCACGTTTCTGGAAACATCAGCATGTGATCTCTCATGACCGACTCGTTCATGCTCCTGTTTGGGGGTTACCCAGACTGGAGTGCAGTCGTCCAGTTACCTGTCTCATTTCATCATACCCAACACCACAGAAGGAAGAGGGGTTATTTTCTCTCACAGCTGAGGGGACAGAGTCGGCCTGTCATGTGCCCACCCTCAGGAAGCAGAGGCTTCTGCTGCTGCACAGAAAGCTCACCTTCTCTTTCGTGTACAGTTGAGGCAGCAAGCACTCTTACCCCCAATTTTGAACACACGGCTCTCCATGTGTGCTCCCGTGTGCTCTACAAGCACACCCTCCTGTCCCGTCTACTGTACTGTGTTGCTGCCGCTGCTGTGTCTGCTCACTGTTGCTTTGCACTGGGGACCAATGTCAGAGCCTTGTGCATGCTAGCAGTGTTCTGCTACTGTTCTCATTTGTTATGTGCTTGTTGTTTGAGACACGGTCTCACTGTGTAGTCCAGGCTGGCCTGGAACTCACAGAGCTCTGCTTGCATCTGCCTCCAAGTGCTGGGGTTCAAGGCACGAACACTACACTCAGCTGCTTGTTTGTTTGTATATACAGAATGTTATTTGGACCTTAAATTTCCAATTTTTATGAAAGGCAATTTCCTACTGGCCTTATGTCATATGACTCTCTTTCCACATGGGAAACTGGACTTCTCAATTCTAAGTACACACTGTGTCACTGAGCTTCATGCCATGTCAACCCTCTTGTGCTTGACTCTTATACCCATTGCTGCTTCCAAACCCACTGCCCTGCACTCCACACAGGCGCTCTGCACTCCACACAGGCGCTCTGCACTGCACACAGGCGCCCTGATTCTTCTCTTCCTGTACATTCCTATTCCTGCAATCTAGGGTGTATGTCTCCTGTGTTCTCTTCCTTAAAAATCTTTATGTGTGAAACAATGAGACATTTGGCTTAAATGAATTGCATTCCCTGAAAAAACACCATCAAAAACAATTATTTCAATAACTGTTCAGTCCCGCCCAGTTGACACTCAGAGCCAGTCCTTAACCTACAGACATGGAGAGAAGGCCTTCAGCCTCCTTGTAGCTTCGAGAACATGACCAGCACATTTGGGTCTTGTAGAACCTGGAGAAGCTGGTTACTTGGGCATTGTTGACAGCCCTCCCTTGCTCACACCTGCCTGCATTAGCCAGTCTCAGCACTTGAGAACATGCCGTTCCTGTGACAAGGCGTGGTAGCAAAGGGTACACGAACTGAAGCACTGTCTCACATCTGCACAGAGGCTTTCCCACACGATGCTAAAGCAAAGGAAATACTCTAATGAGTTGTTTTTATTCCTCCTAAATTATGTTTCTCCTGAGAACTGTAAGATCCAGACATTTCATTTATAGTATTCTGGTTCAGTCATGCAGAGGAATTGATCCTACAGCTGTGCCTGAGTAGATGACACACATCCTGTATGGTTGAAATATTAGGCCGGTGGTGGTGGCTCACGCCTTTAATCCCAGGACTTGGGAGGCAGAGGCAGGTGGATTTCTGAGTTCAAGGCCAGCCTGGTCTACAGAGTGGGTTCCAAGACAGCCCGGGCTGCACAGAGAAATCCTGTCTCGAAAAACAAAAAACAAACAAAAACAAAACAAAAATATTGTTCTGATTTCCCAAAACATTATATTAATATGTTAAGGGGTATCTTAGTAATGTGGGTGTGGCCTGGAGCCATCCCAGCGGGACACCAGCTCCCTGCACCTCCTTCCCGGTGCTTCATCCTGATAGTGAGTGTAGAGAGAAAACGTGGGTTATCCTTGGAGGTATAGTGAGACGGGACATTCGCAGAGCAGCTCTATGATTGCATAAGAAATAATCAGACTCTCTTGGGATCTCTGGCAGGGTGACAGTGGCGGCCCGCTAATGTGCTACCTTCCAGAGCACAAAAGATACTTTGTGATGGGAATCACCAGTTACGGACACGGCTGCGGGCGGAGACATTTTCCTGGTGTCTACAGCAGTCCGTCCTTCTTCCAGCAGTGGCTGACACATTATCTATCACAGGGAAACACCAAACGCCTGTTCAATATGGACATGGTGCTTGGCCAGGTCCTCACAGTCCTAGGTTCCATCATCCTTCTAGGAGTGACATAGGAACCCCTGGGGCTGAGGCGTCACTCTGTCCCACTGTGCCTGACAAGGACGCTGTGTCCACGGCTTACGTGAGTGCTCCCATGTCAACGCTGGGTGGTTTTGGTTTTTTTGAACAAAAAGGATTCTGACAGATACATAGACCAAATCCTATGTTTCCTAATTAGAACCTGATTCATAATTCTGTATTTGGAATACTTTCCTAGGGTTTGTATAAAATATTCACTTCACTATGTGCTTTATATATAGAGAGGCCAATAAACAGTTTATAATTTAACTGAAAACTTTCTTTTTTAAAAAAGATTTATTTATTTATTATATATGAATACACTGTAGCTGTCTTCAGACACACCAGAAGAAGGCATCAGATCTCATTACAGATGGTTGTGAGCCACCATGTGGTTGCTGGGATTTGAACTCAGGACCTCTGGAAGTGCAGTCAGTGCTCTTAACCACTGAGCCATCTCTCCAGCCCCATAAATAAATAAATCAATCTTTCTTTCTTTCTTTCTTTCTTTCTTTCTTTCTTTCTTTCTTTCTTTCTTTCTTTCTTTGAGACAGGGTTTCTCTGTGTAGTCCTGGCTGTCCTGGAACTCACTCTGTAGACCAGGCTGGCCTCGAACGCAGAAATCTACCTGCCTCTGCCTCCCAAGTGCTGGGATTAAAGGTGTGCACCACCACCGCCCAGCAACTGAAAACTTTCTTAATGATTTATTTTTATTTTATGTGAATTGACATTTTTCCTACATGTGTGTCTGTGTGAAGGTGTTGGATCTCCTGGAGCTGGAGTTACAGACAGCTGTGAGCTCCTGTGTGTTTGCTGGGAAATGAATCCAGGTCCTCTGGAAGATCACCCAATGCTCTTAACAGCTAAGCTGTCTCTCCAGTCCCAACTGGAATTTTTTTGCTAAATTAAAAGATGTTTTAGGCCGGGTGGTGGTGGCGCACGCCTTTAATCCCAGCACTTGGAAGGCAGAGACAGGTGGATTTCTGAGTTCGAGGCCAGCCTAGTCTACAGAGTGAGTTCCAGGATAGCCAGGGCTACACAGAGAAACCCTGTCTCAAAAAAAAAAAAAAAAACCAACAACAAAAAACAAAAAACAAGGGGAAAATGTCTCTTCAGACAGCCAGCATGTTTCTCTGCAGCCATCTTGAAGGGGAAGAAAGAAAGAAAGGAACATTTTGAAAATCTTTTTTTTTTTTTTGGTTTTTCGAGGCAGAGTTTCTCTGTGTAGCCATGGCTGTCCTGGAACTCACTCTGTAGACCAGGCTAGCCTCAAACTCTCAAACTCAGAAATCCTCCTGCCTCTGCCTCCCAAGTGCTGGGATTAAAGACGTGCACCACCACCACCGGGCAATTTTGAAAATCTTGAGAGAAGAAAACCAAACCATAACAATAAAACCACAGAGCGCTGAAATGCAGGTCAACAGGAAACTGCCTATTTAGCATGAGTGGCCCTGGGTCCAGCCTTTACCACCCAAGAGGAGGAAAGGGGAAGGTGGGGGGAAGAGAAGGAGGTGGGGAGAAAGAAGAAGAGAAAGAAAGAAATGAAAAAAAAGCTAAGACCTTTCCAAATAAACACAAGCTGGGTCAGTTCACCACCATCCTGGACTTAGGCCACATGCTATAAGCAATTCAAGCTTAACAGAATACTTATTATTACCACAGAGTACATGGATGTATATAAACTATACTTATTATTACCACAGAGTACATGGATGTATATAAACTGACAAGTTTGGAATCCTGTCATTTCACAGAGGTCGGTCACACATGAATTAACGACAGTTGGTATAAAAATCACTGCAGCTGGGCGTGGTGGCCCACACATCTAATCCCAGCGCTTGAAAGGCTGAGGCAGCAGGACTGTGAGTTAGTTCAAGATCTCTCTGGTTATATAGCAAAACCCTATCTCAAAAATAAATGACTAGGGATAATTACCAACAATAACGTGTTATAATGTGTTGTCATTGCTGAAACAAGGCCTTACATGGCTCTGGCTGGCCTTGAACTCCTGATCCTCCTACCTTAGCCTTCCATTTGCTGGGATTATGAGATGTGGGCCAGCACACCAGGCGTCATCTCTTAAAGATATGAACTGTAGTCTTAATACCCTAACATAGGAATAGAGGCGGGGAGTAAACATATGGTCTTTGAGTACAAAATTGTTGTTATGCTGCATGTGCACATCATGATATTACAAATAAAGCTTTTAGAGTAGACAGCCACTGAAATAGCTCAGCGTTTGCTGCCAAGACCATGACAACCTAATTATGGTCCCTGGGACCCACATAGTGAAGGAGACAACTGACTGCCACAGTTGTCCTCTGACCTCTACACATGTACCCTGGCATGGATGCCTGTGTTCTACACACACACACACTCTCTCTGTCTAAAAGAAAAAAATAGACTTGGTCACCAACATCTCCAGCTTTTCCTGAGGTTTTGTCTCATCAGGTTAAATGGTGGTTTAAGTGAGAACAGTCCCCATAGGCGCATTTATTTTAATACTTGGTCCCCAGTTAGTGGAACTGTTTGAGAAGGATTAGGAGGTGTGTCCTTGCTGGAGGAGGCGTGCCACTGGGGGTGGGCTTTGCATGAGTGTACAATTGCACATACATGAACACACATTCTCAAGTGCACACGCACATACACATGTACATGCGTGCGCACATGCACAAGCATGTACACACATACACACCTATACACACATGACCACAGAAGTACACAAATGCACAGTTGCATACACACAGGCATACACATAGGCAAACACATACACACGAGTGCACATACACACATACACACATACAGAAGCACATACACACAATGATAGAAAGGGGTTCTTTTGTTGTTGTTTGAGACAGGGTCTCACTATGTATCACTGGCTGGCATGGAACTCACTATATGAAACAATCTGGCCTTGAATTTAAGATGCCCCTGCCCCACCCCCCCCATCCCTGCCCCTCTCCCAGTCCCTGCCCCTGCCCCGCCTCTGTCCTGCCCCTGTCCCAGGGGATTAAAGGCAATGGCACCAGGCCCAGTCTCATAATAGCTTAATTTTCCATAGCTTCAAACTGGAAATAACCTGATCATATATCAACAATTGATAAGAAAAACAAACGGGTGTAACAAGCAGTGAAGCAGAAAGTCGGCCTCTGAATCCATCAACGGCTTAAAATCCAGCATGGGGCAGGGTAGTGAAAGCGAAGCTGCTGGCCTCAGTGGGATCCTGCCCTAGCCGTGCACCCCGAGATCTGGGTGTCCCTGCACAGATGCACTAGAACACCTGAATTCCAGCGCTCCTACAATGACGTGGGAAGCAAAGACAGAACTGCACGGAAGCCAGTAAGCCAGCTAGCAGCGGCTGGAGAGGCCGTTCAGTGGTTAAGGCCATTTGCTGCTCATGCCAAGGGCTCACAGCTCCCTGTAACTCTAGTCCTAGGGGACCCGATGCCCTTGTCTCTGGCTCTGCAGGCACCAGGCACATGTGAGCGAACACACACACAACACCCAAACATACAAAACTGAAAAAATAATTAGCAGGCAGGCACCGTAACACGCAAATGCCTTTAATCCCAGCACTTGGGAGGCAGAGGCAGAGGCAGAGGCAGATGGATCTCTGTGAGTTTAAGGCCAGACTGGTCTACATATCGACATAACAAGTTCCAGGATACATAGGGCTACAGAGTGAGACCCTGTCACAAAAGATCAAAAAACAAATAAAAACTCACCAATAGCTGGCTCTCATTCTCACACCCATTGTGGTTCACTGAGCTCCATAGAGACAGCCGGGGTGGGGATGGGGGTTAAGAAGAAATCTGAAGACGGACAAGGCTCATTATGAAGGAGAAATGAAGACCTACATCACCACAAAGGAGACTAAGGAGCTGAAGGATCCAAGGCCCTGTGGAAGGGGCCTGCCAGGCTGAAGGGAAAATAGGGAAGGAAACACTGCCTACAGAACTAACCTGAGGCAGAGGGAAAGGGGGTGGTCACAGCTGAAAGGAGCAAGAGAAGGAGGAAAGGGGAAGACAAGGAGGAGGAGGATGAAAAGGGTCGGAAAGAAGCTGAGGAAGAGGAGGAAGCCGAAGCTGCTACTGATGGTGGTGGTGGTGGTGATGATGATGTTGGTTCTAGCAGTTTTTTTCTTGTCTACAAACCATTTAAGTCCCCTGTACACAACTCACTCCTTTTTTTTTTTCTTGGTTTTTCGAGACAGGGTTTCTCTGTGTAGCCCTGGCTGTCCTGGAACTCACTCTGTAGACCAGGCTGGCCTAGAACTCAGAAATCCGCCTGCCTCTGCCTCCCAAGTGCTGGGATTAGAGTACACCACCACCACCCGGCTAACTCACTCCTTTTAAATAATAAAAATGCAATCTAAGGCTATGGAAGGATTTTTTGTTTTGTTTTTTGGTTGTTGTTGTTTCATTTTGTTTTTTAAACTACACAGTGTCTTTTTTTTGTATGTAGTTACTACACGACCAAATGTCTTCAAACAGTCCTGTCCTGGTGGTATTTCAACAGCCACTAACTTTGCCTGGTACAGTCTGGGGGGTTGGAAATTGACATAGAAATTTAAAGCAGTTTTTTGGTGTCGTTTTCCCCATCTTCAGTTGTGTCTGATGCGGTTTCATCTGAGGATTCGTGCTGTCCTATCAGCTGAATAACCATTCTGTAATGAAAAAGAAATCCAAGAAAAGTGTGCAACTGTTTTATTGATATTCTGAATGCTTCCGAGTAAATATGTTTTTTAATTAAAAAATAATGAAGGTGGAGAAATTAAAACATTTGACATCCTCCTCTGGCCTCTACACATATATGTATATGGCCCAGCACACCCATGTGTGCACACACACATGTGGAACAGTTGTTACAATATTCCTATTTGATTGGTTGTATTGTTTGTTTGTATGAGACAGATCTCTCTCTTCTATAATCCTGAGAGGAGTGTTGTGGAACTCACTGTGTAGACCAGGCTGGCCTTGAACTCATATATTCTGCCTGCCTTTGTCTGGACAGTGCTGGGATTAAGCTACGTGCCACCAGGCCAGGCTATTCTATTTGTAACATATGTGAAGGGTATATAAAATATGAGAAGACTTTAAATACATACACACCTTGACCAAGCCCACTCAGTCAGTCAACAGGTTCTCCAGGGCAGGAGTGAGGATTAAACGAAAAGAGACGATTAGACAAAACTGTAGCGTGACCCCAGCCAGTTCTGAGGCTGAAGGCAGGTTTGTTTAATTCAACTTTTCTTTTAATTCCTTTTAA